ACTATATATTATATTAATATAGATTATTAATTCATGCATTATATTATTATATTATAATAATTAGATCAAATTATTTGACGGACTGTAGTTTTTTAATAATGACATGATTTGTACGATTTTATATGCAATACTTTTATATTTAAACATATGCAATGGGCTCTTATTCAGGAGAATGTACCTACCTGGTTGCACAAACAAAATGGCTCCTATGGAACATTGGCAAAAGAGTTTATAAAAACTCATCAATTGAAGAACTTTTTATCACTATTATTCAAGAATAAAATTTAACTTTTCTCAAATAAAAAATTTGATTTGAATATCTTTCACTAAGATATTTGTGANCTTTAATGAGATGTATGTGGCTGCAAGTTTCTAATTATCTCATCGATGTTTGGATGTATGTTGCTAATTGCAATTCGCATATCATCTTCAGGGTTTAGTATCTTCAGGGTATTTAGGGTATTAGGTCAGTCAGGGTATTCTGGGTATTAGTCATCATCAGGGTATTTAGTTTTTATTGAAACTAGTTTGCTAAATCCAGTTTCACATAAATACGTTGATGCAAATTGTATTAACATTCAGATGACATTCTTGCATAAAACGGGATATTGTTTTTTCACGGATAGCCAAAATTTTTGGCAAGGCTGAGTCTTAAATTGATTTCGATTCAGTAGTTCTCACTAATTTAAAGAGTTGAACTGCATATGTCAAAGGAAAATGGATCACGAATCCAACCAAGATTTTCAGGAAAATCCTCGAATCTTCTCGAAAAATTTTTCTTTAACTTTTCAATGTGATTGGAAATGATGTTTTTAAATGTAATCCGAGTTTTTAAATGTACTGGTCCAGTTGTAAAGCAAATAGAGATGAATTTTGTATGCGTTTTATGACTTCTGACTCGATATTTCGTGACGTTTCGGAAATCCAATTGCAATTAAACAGTGAGTGACGGCGCTTCACTCTTTATATGTACACGGTATGGTATGCAGCATGCGGGGATAATGCATTTCATAAAAATTTTGCGACCCCCACAGGGGTCGCGACCCCTAGTTTGCGCACCACTAAGCTAGAGCACCGAAAATTACTGGTGTTCCAAATTTGATGAAACTACAAATAACTGAATCGTTTTCTGGCAGCTCTATGTGAAATTAATAGTCATTTTGTCAATCGTTAAAATTTCACGATTTTATTTCGACTAGCTGCGGTGGGAGTGGCTAAAATTTCAGATGTGCCTTATCTTAATACAAGTTAGAATTGTAACCTAAATGATGCAAGCAAACTTTATCGATAACCGAAATTTTGATTAGTTTCTAGCATAAACAAACTTAATTATAAATAAGAAAAAAACAAAATAAATTATAAACGTCCTTCAAGTTGACGACTAGATAAATTAGACTATATATTATATTAATATAGATTATTAATTCATGCATTATAAACGTTCTTCAAGTTGATTAAAAAAAGTGTGAAAAGAGTTCTTTTTAATTTTTTTAAAATTTTATTTTATTANTAAACGTCCTTCAAGTTGACGACTAGATAAATTAGACTATATATTATATTAATATAGATTATTAATTCATGCATTATAAACGTTCTTCAAGTTGATTAAAAAAAGTGCGAAAAGAGTTCTTTTTAATTTTTTTAAAATTTTATTTTATTACCTTTTTTTTTTAGTTAGAGGTAGAAATAAAAATAGCTTATGATAGATCCATCAAAAACAAAAATTTTTTTTTTAACAATTCCATTAAAAGTAGATTTTACCCATAAATTCGTTTCAGAATTTTTTATCTGAGATGTTTAAAATGATTTCCAACCGAAGATTTATACAAACGTCTCCCCCCCCCCCCCCGAAAGAAGTACTCTCGCGAGAGATTGATTTGCGCAAATAGCTTTCTCAAGATTTAATCAGTTGATTTAAATAGAACTCTCCACGAGCAAAATAAAAGTTTTTAAGATGATTGCGCACAATAATAAAAATGTTTTAATAAAAATGTTTTGCTAATAATAATTATAAAAACCAATTAAACTGCTCAATTTAAAGAGAATAACTAAAACGAATAATGCAGCTAAATTAAGTAATATAAGACGTATCGTTGTCAAAATAGTTACTAATATTATTTGTTAAATAATTGCTAAGATTTATGATTTAAATTAATATCCATAGATGGCGCTGCGCCAATTATTTATTCTTTCTCCGATTTCCTGTGCTGTCTGTATCACATAAACGTTGTGTTCGTTTCTCCGAAGTCATTTAAATTCGGAAACCAAGTATCTTTGCTGAACAATTTATTATTAATATGTTTAATATTATTCAATCCTATAATTGAGTTTTTAATATAATTGAAGCCGTCAGTTTAAATAATGAGAATATTACCTTAAGTAGTCTAATATAAATATCTATCAATACGTATTTCTAATGAATATAAACTTTTATGATATAGAAATATATAAGTATGAACATTAAAATGCATTTTTTTTGTTGTTGTTCAGCAAATAGTTTTATAGACTCTTCAAAATCAATTGTTTCTGTTGTTTTATTTTCGATAGAAATTATTGCTAAAGAACTCTTTTGGGGTCTTTGTAGATCTTAAATAGGTTTTCATAGCTTTTATTTTTCTAAAAGAACGTTCAATACTTGTACTGGGATTGTTAACATAATACGTAAATTTTCCAAAAGTTTGAAAAATATTTTTAAACTTGTTGTAATCGAGCATTTTATAAAACAACAGTTCAACGAGGACCGATACGGCACATCCTCGGTCCCTTCACGGGCTGATCAAAGTTGTCACCCGGCCTCTCACTAACCTCTGCCAGAAATGAAAGACTTCTGTGTCCCGCAGTGGACTGATCGTTAAGACACGGTTCCCAGCAGATCACCGAAGTCAAGCATCACTGGCTACGGTCAGTGTGCGGGTGGGTGACCACTTGGGATCAGTCTGCGTAGGGATCGAGGGTGTGCGGTATTGGTCCTCGTTAAACTGTGTTACCGTAAAGTGCTCGACTTCGCGCGCAGGTCGTCGGGCTACCGGAGCGGGGGTGCCTTCCCTTCCGCAGAGGATCAAAATTGTGATGGCATGTCTTCGGATCATCCTCCGGGATGTTCCCCAGATCGTCGCCAATAGCCCATTGTGCAGCTCTAGTGCGACGTAAAGTAACAACAACAACAACAGCAAGACTTCTGTTACCTACTGGAAACCGTGTCTTAACAATCATTGCTACGCTGGAACAAATAAAACATGCAGGGAATGAACCCGGTGTGTCTTGTTAACTTGCGACCTCATGCGACTTTCTTTTGAAAAAGAAAAAGACATTAAATGTTTTATTTTTGTCTTCGTTTCTTAGAAACAGATATACAAATGAATGAATTGTAATAAAGCATTAAAAATTAAATTATAAGCATTTTAAATGCCTTCAAATAAATCACAATCTAACATTCAAAAAATTTCGGCGTTGAAAAATGTCCTTTTTCCAATTTATTATTTAATTATTTTAATATATTTTTATTTTTATATACACCACACGGCATCCTCTTGATTTTGCGTCCATCGACTTTCAGGGTATGCTACTTCTTCTGTGGTACCGATAAAAAATAGTGGACTCAAATGATAGTAAAATTCAGGATTAGACAAAAGATAGCAAGTTCGAAAACCGGTAAAAATGAGTGGATTTGAGTGATAGAGGGTTCAAGTACCAATAAAAAGGTAGTGGGTTGGAGAATTGTTCGAAAGAGAGTGGGCCCGAAAACTCTTAAAATTATATCCGGATCGAATATAGATAAAAAGAGAGTGGATAAAAAAAGTATTCAAAAGATAGTGTGTTCGAATAATGTTCAAATAATATAATTAAGATTAAAAAAAATTTTAAAAAATCTTAATTTAAAATTTTAATTTTTCAAAAAATATTCGAATGATTTTGATTGCGAATTTTGACATCTAAAATTACTTGGTTCAAAATGATATAAAAACTTTTATACTTCAATTTTGATGAGTGTATGATGTATCAATTTTGAAAGCATCACTATACTCAATAGTGGGTACAGGGCGTTTTTTAAATCCGACTGTATTTGTTTGGTAAGTATATTGAGTGTTTGATACGATCAAAAATGACAAATAAACTATTACTACTATATTGCTCATAACAGAAGTGGTTTATAAGTCATTTGTCAGATTTAAGAACAGATAGTAAGCATCAGGACATCACAAAGACACCAGGTTGAACGATGGGACTTGAACTCGCTATCTCTACCCACTCGATCACAGAGTTCAGTTGATGAAGAGGATGTATATACTTCTCGCTTTTATCCTCTGTCTCTTGAGAGAGATGAGCTGAAATTATAGAATTATCGTGAAAGTAGTTGAATAAAGAAAATTCAGCAATAAAGGATAAAAAAAGAAGTGATTTATTGCCTTGTTTTCAATGAGCAGTGCCTCAAGCAACACATAAAGTGTACCAGTTCCAACACCTTTGGAGAACATCAAATATTGTTAGGTACTCATTAGATAAAAAAATACCATCATAGATAAGTAGGTAAGTGGGTATTTTATTTACGTCACACTAGAGCCGCACAATGGGCTATTGGCGACAGTCTGGGAAACATCCCAGAAGATGATCAGAAGACATGCCATTGCAATTATAATCCTCTGTAGAGAGGATTGCATTCCCGCTTCGATGGGTCAACGGCCTACCTGCGAAGTCGAACACATTATGAGCTTAAGTCGAACGAGACGAAGTCGAACAGCTTAAGGAGAATCAATACCGCACGCCCTCGAACCTTACTCGGACTGCTACATGTGGTCACAAATCTGCACTCTGACCGTAGCTTAGCTAGTGTTGCTTGACTTCGATGATCTGCTGAGAACTGTGTCTGAACGATCAGTTCATTGCGGGACCCATCACAGATTAAAAAAATCCTTTGCGGTCATGGAGGCTGCAAAAGAGAAAAAAATGGTTTTTGTGACAAAAACAAACAGACGGAAGCGATCCCAAGCACCCGCCCTCTCATATAAAAAGGACAACACTCGCTCATTCTTCACCCAAACATTAAATACGCCACTGACTCGAATTTGTGGGACACATCTCCTGTTGTTTGACAAATGTTTGCAGATAAGTTTACTTTAATTTTTATGTTTCATTAATTTTTGCGGGAATTGATTTTTAAATAAAAAAAAGTTGTTCCACGAGTATCTACAGCTTCGTAACTTTAAATAAATTTATTTAATTTCAAATGAAACAAGTTTCACTCAATTTCTTAAATCTCGTGAACTTGGATTTCGATATATTGATTTATGAATGCCCGAAATTTTGATTTTATACTATTAAATTTTTGGTTAGATTATTTAGAACTAAGGCATAATGCTAGTTCCAAATGTCTCACTCTTGTCATTATTTTAACACCACGTTTTTACAGCTTAATAATTGTAAAACTGATTTAAGTATAGTTTTAGATGCTTATAAAATGTTTTGTTGTATGAAAAGATAAAATTACTTTATAATTAAGAAACTTAACTATTACGATGTGTTTATGCGCATAGCATTTCAAAACATTTCTAAGAAATGATTACGCATACATTGATACAGAATGAACTGTTAATTTACATATAATATACAATTTGTTTAACTATGCTCTTGACAGCTGAAAAAATTTGAATCATAAGAAACAATACAAAGTGATTTTCTGGCCATAGAAAATGAAACGTATTTAGACCATTATGTTATAAAAGCAACTTACACGAATCAAAAAATCTGCTAGGTTTCCTTAGTTTTATGATTTGTTAAATGTTTCATTCAAGATAGATAATTTGAAAAGCTCCTACGAAAGTTTTAAAAAGAATTTCTAAGGTGTTTAAGGAGAACTTTATTAAATTTTGTTCAATGGTAAAGTAGATAAAATTACTCTCCAATGCTAGGTAATGGCTCAGTTTGATCACCCTCTTGGTTGCTAGATTTAATCTTCAAACGAAAATTTCATTGAACTTGGTAGTTTTTTTTTCGTATGTTGTAAAATAAATCTTGAATTTAAAAACAATCTGCTTGATAAAATATTCTGTTAGCAGATAAATTTTTCTTCTGTCTTTCAACCAAAATAGTTTAGTTCGCTGGCTACAGTAAATCTGTACATTGCTTACAATAATATTTCAAACTGAAAATTTCATTTTAAAGAAAAATATCACTTTGACTGCATTCATTCACTAATATAAGTGGTTCACGAACCAGTAATTATAGTTTATGTTTAATTGCAGCTTGACCATTGCGGAGCGGAGAATTTCGCAGTTTGGAAGGAACTATCAACCTTTTCTTGATTAACAGACTCAAGCAGAAATGAATTCTGACTGTAAGGACATCGCATCAAGGTGTGTATGTTATCTGTATTATATTCTGTGAAATATTTGTTTAGTAAAGTTCTTTAGGCGCAAACTCTATTTCTGGCTGTAAATTTCTAGTAAATTTCATTACTCTTATTACTCTGCAAATTGAATATTTACAGTATGCTTTTCATAAAATAAATCATTTAACCAAGGATTTTTAAAATTTTGTTTTTATGATTCTCACATTTCCTCTGATAGGCTTTTTATCTAATTTTTTTATCTCAAAAATACTTTAGTGAACGATTTTTGTATGTTTTAATTCTAAAATGTATATACTTGAAAGTATGTAATAAAACTGCGTAATGTTTGAATTCTTTTTAATAAATTACGCAGCGAGAGGGTTAAGACAAATTTTAAAATAAAATTATTTTTGATAGTTTTTAATAAATTTAAGACATTGATCTACATTTAGCGAAACCTTGAGCTTTACCTTGTACTCGACCATTGTGTATATAAGACCGTGATAACCCAGATTGTCAAATTCTGGTCCTGTTCAAGCTCGGTTTGTTTCCGCAGTGGACTGATCGTTAAGACACGGTTCCCAGCAGATCACCAAAGTCATGCATCACTGGCTGCGGTCAGTGTGCGGGTGGGTGACCACTTGGATCAGTCTGCGTAGGGACCGAGGGTGTGCGGTATTGGTCCTCGTTAAACTGTGCTACGGTAAAGTGCTCGACTTCGCGCGCAGGTCGTCGGGCTACCGAAGCGGGGGTGCCGTCCCCTCCGCAGAGGATCAAAATTGCGATGGCATGTCTTCGGATCATCCTCCGGGATGTTTCCTAGACCGTCGCCAATAGCCCATTGTGCAGTTCTAGTGCGACGTAAATTAACAACAATAACAAGTTCGGTTTGACTATGTCTTCTGAATTCGGAGTTTTTGTTAGTAATTTTGAAGTCTTAAAGTATTATAAAATCCAAAATGACTTCTCGGAACCAATGGAGGTAAAAAATGGTGTAAGGCAAGGCGATGCTTTGGCATGCCTACTCTTCAATTTGGCATTAGAAAAAATTATCAGAGATTCAGGAATCAATACCAGAGGACATATCTTTCATAAGTCTGTCCAAATTTTCGCTTTTGCCGATGACATTGACATCATAGCGCGAACACAATCTGACTTAAAGCAAGCTTTTCTATCCATGGAAAAAGAGGCAGAAAAAATGCATCTCACTATTAACCAGGAGAAAACCAATTATATGCAATGCACCAAAATAACTGATTCTACAACTCACTTGCAAATTGGTGAATACAAGTTTGAAAAAGTAAACAGTTTTGTTTATCTTGGTTCTGAAGTCAACGTTAATGGCAATATCGCATCCGAAATACAAAGAAGAATCAATAGTGCAAGTAAATGTTTTTATGGATTAAAAAAATATTTAAAATCAAACCTACTAAAAAGAGATACTAAACTGTTAATTTATAAATGCTTAATCAGACCTATCCTAACATATGCCTCAGAAACTTGGACAACAACACAGAAAGATGAGAATTCCTTGGGAATCTTCGAACGTCGGATCCTAAGATCCATTTTTGGGGGCAAACAAGTTGATGGTACTTGGTACAGACGTTCAAAATCAGAACTCTATCGGGCCCTTAGAGAGCCTGATGTTGTCAAGTATGTAAAAATTCAAAGAATTAAATGGGCTGGTCACATCATTCGAATGAACAGAGAGCGTTCGACAAACATAATCTTTTCGGCTCGGCCCATCGGATCAAGGCCCAGAGGTCGACCAAAGCTGAGATGGGCCGACTGCGTGGAAAGAGACATTTCAGTCTTAAAAGTCTCAAACTGGAAGACAACTGCCAGGCAGAGGCAGGCCTGGAGGAAGTTGATTGAGAAGGCCAGGGCCCACCCGGGGCTGTCGTGCCATTGAGGAAGGAAGGAAGGAAAGTATTATAATGCATACTATATATTAAGTCTAGTTACGTCTCAAACTTGAATTGTTAAACTTTTCTTATTTGTAAATATTGGTTTTTCCAAGGAATACCTTGAGTTCTAAATAAATATTAATTATTAAACTTCAATTGCATTTCATGTCAGTTAGTAATTTTCTTAAAAGGTAAGGTTTTTACCTTTTAAAGTTAAATTTTGTTTTTATCATTAAGTTTTATCTGCCAAGAGCTTTTTATCTAATTTCCTATCCAAAAAATACTTTAGTAAAAGATTTCGTGTGTTTTAATTATAAAATATATATTAGAAATTATGTAACTACGTAGTTTTTGAATTTATTTTCATAAATAAAATTATTTTTGATAGTTTTTATTAAATTTAAGACAACTGTCTACATTAAGAGGTTGCTTTTTGTTTTTTCTGTTATTTACAGAAACTAGACTTCTAAAGTTGTTATAAAGAAAGTTAACCAAAATCTGGTAAAACGAATTCTTTTTAAATTCGGTTTGACTATGTTGTCTGAATTTCGAGTTTGTGTTAATACTTTAAAGAATTTAAAATTTTATGTATACTATTTATTAAATCTAGTTACGTCTCAAATTTGAACTTATAAGCTTTTATTGATTGTAAATATTGGATTTTTTAAGTAATACCTTGGAGGGTTCTAAGTAAATATTAATTGTTGAAATTTAATTGCATTTCATGTCAGTTAGAGAATTTCTTAAAAGGAAAATTTTTAAGTCCGATCAAATTTAGTGAAAAGTTGTTTAAGAAGCCATTAGTTTTATTTTCAAGATTTATTTCAAAAAGTTTGCGTCAGGTTTAAAGTGTTATTCAGATAAAATTTAAGTAATTTTTAAATGAAATTTCTTTTTGTTTTAACACAAATCCTGAACTTGATAATTTGTTTTCTTTCAGATTTATACATCACTTCTATTGGAATCTTCACCTATGCTTTACTTCGTGAAATTGAGCCTCTGATGCAAAGAGAAAAATCTTCTACTAGAATCTGCACAAAATGGTTTACTACATGAAAATGAATAGCAGATGAAACGAGTTGAATAAGGACTCTATACAGGTCAAGAACTCGTTATATTTTGTGGAATTGTTTTAGTTTGTACACTTCATATTAATTGCCTACACATTGTATTAGACTGATCCAGATATTTAAGATCTTTAATGTTACTTTCCTTTTTTTTTAAGTCTTTCCTTACTCGAATTTTTAACTCTAAGTAAGATGTTGAATGTTTTATGTAGTCATCTAGAAAATTGTAAGATTTTAACTCTTAGATATTTTACTGTCTATTTCAAGTTATCATTCAGATTAGTCTGATTGGAAACATTGGGCGATCACTTAGTTTTTGGAAATTCTTACCTAACTGTTAATTTTGCCCAACTTATCTAAATTTAGATTAACTCAATAATTAGGAGCAACTAGTATTCTTATTGTAAGAAAGTGTTTAAAATTTAGCTCTTTCAAACTAAACACATTCGGTGTAATTCTTCATAAGCGTGTTTTTAAAGAGATTTAACTTTAAGATAAGGGAGATATTCTGGAAACTAATTTCTAAATTTTTGCCTGGTTCCATTTTTATTAACTTTTTGTATTACGTTTTTGCAAAACGTATACAAAATTCAGTATAGTTAAGTAATTTTTGAAGTTGTGTAAGATATAAACATTTAAACTAGTTCTTTAGTGATAAACAATTGAACGGAAAACAGATTTTCTTAATGTAGTGAATGTTATTTAATAACTAACGAAATTTAAGATTGTAATCTGACTTTTCGTTTCAAACAATTTTCTAAGAATAAAATCTGAAATAAAACTGGTTAAAATCTCTCTTGAAAATTGTATTTAATAATTCGCAAGTATCTGATTTTGAGTATTTCAAACAAAGCTCTTATAATCACATCGTTTGATTCGAAATTTGTAGAGAAATCTCTAATTAAACAGTTACAGGGTATTGATAAAAATACAATTTGTTTACTTTCATGTTAAACTTGATTTTTAGTTATGAAAAATGAATGGACTTTGTTAATTTAGCAGTAAACCATTTTTTTAAGTCCCTCCTAGCGCAGAAGGGATGGAGACTATACGAATGGAGAAACCTAAATACGATTTTTGTTTCAAATTTAATTAGATAATTAAACATTTTTAATAATCTATATACTTGCAATAAAATAAGTTAATAAAAGCAATTCTAATATAAGCACTTAAGGGTTCTTCGTGTTTTGATTGAGTTTAAGTCCAATGATTTTATAGTGTTGTGGTGTAATTACAGTTGAAAGTAAAATTTAATAAAACAAATTGTCAACAAAATGCGCACTTGGCTCAGGAATTTTCAACGCAATTTTAAACTGAAATAAAAAAATTATTTTAGCAAGTAGCTAATTTTGTCAAGGTAGTGCGCTATTCAGTCTACTCAAAGTACTTAACGTAAATTGAAGATAAATTTTAAGTCTATGACAAATTTATGAGTTTTAATGATACTTATTCGCTGCTGGAGTAGCAAAATAATGACTAACTGTTCAGTTCAAACAGAATAATGACTAACTATTCAGTAATCACGTAACACACCTTAACATTAACCATAACACTAATTCGCTGCTTCAGTGGTAGAATAAGTATAAGAGTAAACTCCTTTTTTGAATAAAAGTAAAATTATGATTGCGATTGGGCTCAATAGAAACTGTGTTGAAAAGTTAATAAATTAACCGGGCAATTTTATTTAAAAACAATCTTAATGACGAAATTTTTGTAGGAATTTTGTTACAAAAGTCACAGTGAGTTCTTCAAAGTAAAAACTAATTTACTAATGACTATGAAAAGGATCTTTTAGTTGCAATTGTCGTAAACTGAAAATATCTTACAAATTGCGTTTATTACATTTGAGAGCACTTACAGCAAACTTCATTCAAACCGTAAGCCTAAATTCCATTTTACAGAGAATCAGATTGGCATTTTGTTCTAGCCCTACTTTAATGTTAAAAACGAAACTAGTAGAAAATTAAGCTAATGAAATTTTATATGTAGAAGAATTATTTTTTTATATTTGAAAAATTACTTTAAATAGAAAGTAAGTATAAAGATGTTTTAAATCTCTTGTATTTCAATGTCTTGTATTTGCTTGAAACATTTTAAAACTTTAGTAATGCAAAAGTTGCTAAATTAACGTATCGCCTTGCGTTTGTAGTCCTGCACATCTCATAATACGAGCTTTCGTGCCATACAAAACTATTCGTAACTAAAGAAAAACTACAGCGTATATGCGAAATATTTTTAATTCAAAAAATTAAATAAAATACAATCATAAACATTAATCTTATACAATTTCCAGTTCAAGAAGTTTTAACTAGAGTAGGCGAACTTTCTTATAAAATCAAAAGCATTAAAGTGAAATATCGTGAACATTTAAATTTTCAGAAATTATTAGTTCAGGAAATTAAATTAAACATATCAAAACTACTTTAATAGAAATCTGCATGCCTGAAGTGTTTTATAGGTATAATGGGTCAACAGTTGCTGTTTTGTAAGAGGTCTGACTCTAAAGTACATAATACAATAATTCATAGTTTGGTTTAGAAAATTAAGAATTAAAGTTTTAAGGGAAAAATAAAGATTTAATCTTTTGCGTCAATATTACTTTTAAGCACGAATTTTGGCAGCGACAGTTCAAAGATTTTTAAATTTCAATCTTAAGCTATTGAGTCTTTTCTAATTTTTTTCAGAAGAGCTTTTTAACCTATCCTTCGAAACCAGACTATAGCTGAACAGAGAATTTCACAGCATGAAAGGGACTATCAACAGTTTCTTGATTAACAGACTCAACCAGAAATTAATTCTGTCATCAAGGACACCGCATCAAGGTGTGTATGTTAGCTGTATTATATTCTGTGAAATATTTGTTTAGTAAAGTTCTTGAGGCTGAAATTCTAATTCTGGCTATGAAATTTTAAGCGAATTGAATATTTACAGTGTTTTTTTCATAAAATAAATCATTGAACGAAGGAATTTCAAAGTTTTGCTTTTATCATTCTTGCAATTTCGGGCAAGCTTTTTATCTAATTTTATATTTGAAAAAACTTTAATAAAAGATTTTTGTATATTAAAATTCTAAAATATATATACTTGAAATTATGTAATAAAACTACGTAGTTTTTTAATTACTTTGATAAATTAAACAGCGGCAGTGTTAAGACAAATCTTAAAATAAAATTACTTTTAACAGTTCTTATTAAATTTGAGACACTAATCTAAATTTGAAAGTTGAAGTTAGATTTCAGTAAATAACAAAGAGAAAACTTTAATTTTTTTTTTAAAGAAAGTTAAATAAAATCTGGCTGAAGACAGAAGTATATATAAGTACCATTGTATATATAAAACCTTGATACCCCAGATTCAAATACTATATATTAATCTAGTTATGTCTCAAACTTAAACTGTTAAACTTTTATTAATTGTAAATATTGGTTTTTCTAAGTAGTACCTTGGAGAGTTCTGAGTAAATAGTAATTATTGTACTTTAATTGCATTTCGTGTGTTTAATTTTTTCTCTCTTACAATGACATAAATTTAAGTCTCATCAATTTTACTGACAGGTTGTTTAAGAAGCTTTAAGTTTTATTTTTAAGAATCATTTCGCAAAAGAGTACACGTCAGGTTTAAACAGTAGTTCATGTAACATTTAAGTAATTTTTAAAAGAAATTTCTATTTGTGTTTATCTCAAATTATGAAATTGACAATTTGTTTACTTTTTAGAATTAGCCACTTCTATTGGAATCTTCACCTATGCTTTACTTCGTGAAATTGAGCCTCTGATGCAAAGAGAAAAATCTTCTACTAGAATCTGCACAAAATGGTTTACTACATGAAAATGAATAGCAGATGAAACGAGTTGAATAAGGACTCTATACAGGTCATGAACTCTTTATATTTTGTGAAATTGTTTTAGTTTGTTCACTTCACATTAATTGCCCACACATTGTACTAGACTGATACAGATATTTAAGATCTTTGTTACTTTCCTTTTTTTTAAATGGATAGTCTAGAGAATTTTTTTTAAAACATTAGGATGTAATTAAAAACATTTACTTTAAATTTTGGCTGTAATATTCCTATATTATGAATGCCAAAGAGCAGATTTTTATGAATTTTAATTTTCTATTCATTCTTTAAACCTTCATGGCCAACTCTTTATTATGTACAACATTCAAATAAATATTGGTTAAAGCAAATACTGTTCGATGCAAAAATTATTTTAACAAAAATATCGGTCATGTAGATAAAATCTCCAGATACGTTGATTTCCTCACCACCGAATATCGAAACTAGCGAAAAATTCTTTCCTTAGCCAAAATTTCAATTCTAATTAAGATGTTGTGGGACGTTTTATGTAGTTATCAGGAAAATTGTAAGATTTTAACTTAGATATTTTACTGTCTATTTCAAGTTATCATTTAGGCTAGTATGATTGGAAACATCGGGCGATCATTTAGTCTTTGGAAAGTCTTACCTAAGCGTTAATTTTGCCCAACTTATCTGAATTTAGATTGACTCAATAATTAGAAGCAACTAGCATTTTTATTGCGAAAAAGTATTTTTTTAAAATTCAGTGCTTTCAAACTAAATGCATCGAATGCAACTTTTTATTAGCGTGTTTTTAAAAGCTATTCCAATGTAAGATAAAAAGTGTGCTATTCCAAAAAAAGAATCTATGAATAATTAAATATAAAGTTTCGAGCAATTTTCTAAGTATTTTTGGTTGTAAGATTTTGGTATTTTTCTCGATGCACAAAACAGACTAAGAATACCTTTAAAGTTCTACTTAATTCAGAAACTGAACTTAAAACCACATCGTTAAATACAAAATTTATAGAACTACAAAAGGGCATTGATAAAAATAAAATTTGTTTACTTTAAAATTGAACTATATTTTTTGTCATTAAAAAGAAATGGAGTTAATTATAATTTTTTCCTCTTAAGCTAATTCCCCGCCTAGTAATGTAAAAACCTAAATACAATTTTTACTTTTAAATTTAATTATAAAATTAAGCATTTTTAATAGTCTACATACTTTAGGAAGAGTTAATATAAAAAAATTCTAAAATAAGTACTTCTAGGCAATTAGTCTTTGATTTAGCTTAAATCCAAGGATTTTATAGTATTGTGGTGTAATTGCAGTTTAAAGTGAAAATTAATAAGATAAATTTCCAACAAAATGCGTTCTTGTCTCTGTTATTTTAAACTAAAATAAAAAAATTATTTTAGCAAGTAGCTAATTTTGTAGAGGTAATAAGCTACTCAGTCCAGTCAAATTACTCATGGTAAATAAAAGATAAATTGCATTTTGTCTATGACAAATTTATGACTTTTAATGATCCTTATTCGCTGCTGAAGTAGCAAAATAATGACTAACTGTTCAATAATCACGTAACATATCTTAACATTAACCATATAACACTAATTCGTTGCTTCAGTAGTAGAATAAGTATAAGAGCACAACAGTGAACTTTTGAGTAAAATTATAATTGGGATTGGACTGAATAGTAACTGCCTTAAAAATTGGTAATTCAACTGGAAATTTTATGTTTAGTAATTAAAAGTGATTTATATTAAAGTTTTATAAAAATTTTGTTTCAAAGGTCACTTCAAAGTAAAAACTAATTTTCGAACGGCTGTAAAAAAGATCTTTTAGTCGAAATTCTCAAACTTGAAATAACTTAAAAACTGCGCTTATTACATTTGAGATTACTTATAACAAACTTCATTAAACCGTAAGTTTAAATCCATTTCACCGAGAAAACAAATTTGGCATATAATTCTAGTCCTACATGATTTTCTTCTAGTTTTGTTTTTGACATTAAAGTTATCAAATTTTATGTGTGGAAGAAACTTGTTATGTTTGAAAATTTTATTTAAATAGAAAATAAATATAAATAGATGTTTCAATGTCTTGTCTTGCATTTCAATGTTTTATATTTGTCTGAAATTAAAATTTAAAACTAAACTATTGTAAAAGTTGCTGACTTAACGTATCGCCTTGCGTTTGGAGTCCCGCACATCTCAAAAGAGCTTTTGTGCCACACAAAACTATTTGTAACAAAAATAAAAACCAAGTGGATATGCGAAATATTTTTAATTCAAAACATAAGTAGAATTCGATCATAATCATTAAAAGCTTGTACAATTTCCAGTTCAAGCTTTTTAATTTTATAAGAAGGTTTGCCTGCTCTGGTTAAAATTTCCTAAAGTAAAATATCGTGAACATATAAGTCTTCAGAAATTATTAGTTCAGCAAATTAAATTCTTAAACATATTAAAGCATATTAAGTGGAAATCTGTATACCTGAAGTGTTTTATAGCTGTAATTCTCAGACAGTTGCTATTCTTTAAACGGTACGACTCTAAAGTACATAATAAGATAATTGAAAATTAAGAGTAAGTTTTAAGTAGCGTTGCAGGAAAAATAAAGGTTTATTCTTTTACTTTAAAATAACTTTTAAACATGAACTTTGGCAGAGACAGTTTAAAGATTTTTTAAATTTTTATCTTTAAGCAATTGAGTCTTTTTTTTTTATATATATAGATAAACTTTACCCTGTGCTTCGAAGCAGGAAAACGATCAGCCCGATGTACTAAGATAAATGTTTAGTAATTATACTTTCTTTGAGAACTTTAGCTCTGTTAGAGTAATTTAAATGTTTACCCTCCATAAATCTGCGATCTATCGGAAACTCGATATAGGGACATAGTTTTACAACCCAGGTAAACTTGTGTGAAACGAAAAATTCCAAGACAGCTCGACAAGCTTGGAGTTCGAATTGGTACCGGTAGACGGCCGTTCTGCTCCCTCTTCGAGCTCTACACTCGTTCAGCAGTTTCGGAACTTTTTGATTTCCTTGTGTACGCTGCAGCAGTAAAACAGTGTCCCTGCAGTAAGGGCCGGGGTGGCTTTTGGAGTTCTGGGGGTCCTGGACTGCGATGCTAGATCGCATGTTCGTGACCTGAAGTCTCCGAGGAACTCTAGCACTTACTGCCAAATAGCCTAGAAGCTGTTAAAAGTAACTTTTGGACTAGTGCGTTTATAAAATTTTAAAGGGCTGGGTAGTAAGGTCCAGGACTGCAATTTTACATTGCAAGTTCGTGCCCTGAAAATCCCCAGCACTTTAAAATTGCTTAATAGAACTAGACCACTCGTAGAACTTTAGATTACGACAGTATGCAATCGTTTAAAGATCTTAACAAAAAGTGATCTAAGCCTTATGTGGATGAGGGTTGCATTTGACGAATGCTCTTAAAATTAGAGTTGAAAATGTAGTATAATTCTAGATTTAATTTTTAATTGTAAAACCTTAGGCTTGCAATAAATTTAAAGAAAATTTTTTACGATCTTAAAATGAAGGTCTAATTTGCTAAAGCTCAAAATATATAAACTACTTAATTGAACTTTTATAATTGCCATTTTTTAAACAATTATGACTGTGCAGATAAGTTTTGAATCAGACTGTTATTAATGTTACGTGCTAAAATAGTTAATAATAAAAGCAAACTTCTAGCTTGTCTTAAGGTAAAACTAATCCAAAGTTAGAGTAATTTGACAGTATTTGCATTGAATACTTTTCTGAAGTTTCAATTCTAAGAGGTAAAGTATTTTAAATAAACGAAGGGCAATTTTTAAATTTAATAAATTTTAAACCAATCTTTCTACGCCTAAATTTAGATGAAATGTTTTTAATGCATGGAACGTTTGCCGTCAAAAAAAAATGAAATAAAATACTGTAACGTACAATTGACCAGTTTTAAAATTTCTTTTTCATTTTAAACTTAATTTTAGTGTTGAAATTAACGAAATTGCGTTTTCCTAAATCTAAAATGTTTGTTCTTAAATATCTTGTATCAGCCAGATTAACATGAATGAAACTGTTCTGAAATTTCAATATGTTAAAAGAATACTGAAACAGTATGTATTTAATAACGAATGTATCTTATTTCTTTATATTACGATGGAGTATGAAATTTAAACTTTAATGTTTTGTGTCAACGTTGCTATATTGATGTATGTGGATTGTAACGAGCTGTGAATGTTACAGTTTAAGACCCTTTTCTGTACTCATTTCGCCACTAAAAATGCTCTTAGTATAAATTTATTTTTTAAATGAATACTGGATTATACTTCTAGTTTATTTAGTAGTAAATCAAAGATCGCTGAAGAAGTATAAATATTTTTAAAATTCTCTAAGATACATGAAATGATTTGTCGAAATAAAAATTTTCTAAATAAATTAATCAGTTCTTCGTCTTAAAGCTTAACAAGTTTTGTTCCCTGGATTTCTCAATTTACTGATATATTTTAATTATAAATATGTCTGTTTTGTAAGGCAATGCAGTTTTATTTGTTCGGTAATAGTTTTCTACATTTTAAAACACCTTTTAATGGTAATAGGAAAACTCGTTTAAAAATTATACGAACAATGTACCCTGTTGATTTCATATTTTTATAAATAAATACTTATTTCTGTTTAAAATTGATACAAAACTTTTAAATTTTTGTTGTAGCTTAAGCTTAAAATTGAAGTTGACCCATTTTTAAAATGACAATTTGGATCCATTGAAGAAACCTATTCTCCAAAATGATTCATTCTATTTTGGTTTTCATAAAATGAGATTATGTAAAAATTCAGATCTGTGAAATAAAATTTTAAACTTTATTGCTAAAATCTAAAATTTTTTTAATAACCGAAAAAAACTTTCATAAAAATATTAAGTTGCGTTACTTAAATATATTGCATTCAAATGTTTATATTTAAAAAATTTGTAAATTTTTATTACAATAATTTTAGATATGATCACTAGATTAACACTACCCCCTTTGTTAACATAATCTCCAGCTGAAGAGTAACAAAATAGTAATATGTTTAAAATTTTTCCTTAAACAAATTTAGTGGCGAATGTTTTTAGTATTTTGCATTGAATAATTTTGTAATGAATGAACTATTGTTTGAGTCTTAAGAAATTCTATTTGTAAAAGTGTGTTCTTTGTCTTGAACAGAAATAAAACTTGTGTTTAGTTTATTTTTGGGTCTTTTTATTAACAAATTTGATAGCTTATAAGAGTCGAACATCAGAGTACAAAACGTTCTTAGACTGTCAGCATATCGGTTTCCGTCCATTATATTGTAGAAAAGTTAATCACTTTAAATGTACTGTGTTTTTTACGTTGCAATTTTATTTAATTCAAATGTGATGATTCAACAATTTTTTTTTTGACAGCAAAATCTATTTTTTGATAAATATTTATTTTAAACGTTATAAATGCAAGCAGCAGATGTTGGAAACTTTCCTTTTGTAAAATGCTAATAAACTTAAAAAATTTTAAACTATTGAATCTTTAACTATTGAAAAAAAATTTTTTCACTATTTTTGACTTTTATTACTTTTTAAACTATTGGAAAAAATTTGGAATTTTAAACTATAACTACTTGAAAATTTTAACAGTTATAAATACAAGCAACATATGTTAGATTTTTCACTTTCGATTTAACTTTTCTGGTTTTTGAAAATTTGACTCGTTAAGACTAGAAAATTCATTTTTGAAATTTTACGAAACTAAATTTAGAATTGTGGGTCATACTTCCAAAGGCCATTTTTCTAAAAATGCAACATGCTTTTTTATTGCAGTTCAACTTCAAATTAAGCATAATGTTTGGAATTAAGGAATAGTTAAATCTATGCTAAATTAAATCAAACAGCCTTAGCGGTAGAGTTTTAAAACAAAACTTTTAATGATTTCTACCTTTATAGATTTATAGTATTGTTTGAACGTTAAATCTTATTAAATTTATCGACAATATTTTACATTTTTAAAGAATATGAAAATAGTATTAAAAATATTAAATGGAAATTATTTCTTGCGATTTCGTTTTATAGTATCTGATTTCTTTTAACTTATAAAAACATTGAATTTAAAATTTTCCGGTAGATTTTACTGTTTTATTTTGAATATTATATGTAATACTCGTATTTCTTGATTCTAATACAAAGTGCGTGTGTCACCAGCTCTCGTATGTTAATTTTTTAGATAAAATGCAAATACTTTTTTTGAATTATTATGTTGAATGCATAATATTAAATAGTTATTAAGAAAATATCATTTACTTCATTACATATTCTATTAATCTTAGAGTTTTAAGAACGGGTTTATTGAATTTGTTTAACCTGCTGAAATGCGCTTAATCTCGAAGAAAAATTAAAAAATTGTGGGTTTTTTGAAAGTCTGTAAATCTGCTTAATATTTAATGAGATTTATCTTCGGTTATAATCGCAGTAAATTTTGTACATGAAATCGTATGAATTTCTTAAAACCTTTAATAGGAGTTAATAACTAATGTCTATCGTGAATTTAAATAAGCGAAGTCCTTCGAAAAGTTCAATAAAGAATCGTTTACATGCC